TTGGCGTCGAATTTCAAAGCAGCCGTCCACATATCCAAAATTTGGCAACGCTAAGGCCAACACAAAGCAGAAAGATCGCTGCGTCGGTCGCCAGCTGTTGCAAATAAATAAAATTAAATGAAATGTTTTTTCCTTTTAATGAAATGAAGGCAAGAATATAAGTTTTCATGCAGTTATTGATATGAAATATTAATTTATCTCTCGTTAATATGTTAATTTAGTGGCCAAAGTAGTCTCTGCCAAGCTTCATTGTAGAACGCATACTTTTAACTTGCGTTCTGTCAAACCAACGCCAACTACAAAGTCAACGCGAAAGTTCTATGGGGACCAGCCTTAATTATCAAATAGTAGTTTGTATTATCCTACATGCATATGTATGGGGGCTTAACCAGGAATATTCTTTTGAAAATGCTGATGTCCTACTCATTTATGAAATGAAAGACAAAATAATGATTTTTATAAATATTATATTCTCATTTATACATATGTAACATAGTTTCTTAGCCAAATTACTTAGTAATTACTTGTATGTAAGAATACAAAGACAAATTATTTATCAGAAGCATTGCCCCTTACATATTGAAAAAAAGTAATAAAAGCTCTCATAAAAGCAAAATCGCTACAGCGAAAAAAGTGTTTGAAAAACCGCATAAATTCAAATCCGCATAAAAAAGAACCGCATAAAAAGAGACCTAAGTGTATAAGTTGAAATTTTATAAGAAATTATTGAACATTAAAAACATTATACCTACATAGATATGTATGCACATATGTGCCTACCTAGTAGATAAAACTGGTCCAAATAGCACGAATCTACTCTTCTGTGCATGAGAATATATACATAAGTATATACAAACATATGTGTATATACATATGTATGTATATACATATCTGCATGTGTGCATATAATTCTTTACTCGAAATTCTTAGTTGCTGCAATTGTTATCCCATACATTTTTGCCGACCAAACAACGCGTTTGCCTGTCTAATCTGCTTGCCTCATTTGCCTCGCTCGTTTACTCGCCTCATCTGCCTCGCTCGTTTACCGCCTCGCTCGTCTGCTGCTGCAATGAGTGCCTCGCTCGCAACGACGCCCTCGCGAGGGCAGAGCTAATGAGGCCCTCGTTTGCTTGCTGCTCTACTCTTGCGCGTGCGCTCTTACTTAACGAGTGATCGTTTGCAAACAGCCTCGCTTGTTGCTCGTGAGTTGCGCTAGCTCGGAGCAAACTAACGAGCGAGCGAGGCGCTAAAATGAGGCATATCCGAACCCTGCTTATGGGCTGTTTTTGCTTACGCGTAAAAGCACATTTAGCGCATTTAGCTCTAAATGCTACTCTAAATGTACATTTATATATACAAAATTCGTCACCTAAATGCAACTAAATGCAACTCCATTTTTGCATTTAGAATCTAAATGCTAAAAGCAACCCTGTGATCTTCCAAAATTTCCACGATTCGAACATGGTTTAATGATAAGAAGTGGCAACATTGCTTTTTCGAGTATACAGTCGCTAGCTGCGTTTCAGTGATCGCCGATCGAGATATCATTTATTATTTTACATTATTTGGATAAAGAAAAGTTACGCAAATTAAACATCGATATGATGCTGATAGAAATCTGGATTAATTTGTGATCAACTCTGTTTGTTTTGTTTCCTAATTAAGTGTGGAAATTATAATTGACAGCACCGACAAATGAATATATACACAAACAAATGTTTGGTTATGGTTAAAATAATTCAAGTTTTTGTATTGAATTTTCGGTTTAGAATTTATTTTTTCCTTTTCAGTAGGGATTTTTGGACACTATCTTTTCCGTGAGAATTAATCGTAATAGATACGGATCTGAATAAGCGACTGGAACAAGGCTGTTTGTCAAAAGCATACGATTTCGAACTCGCGTAAATGTACATTTGCTAAATGCGATAGCATGAACGCTCTTCGAAAACATATGTTCGAAAGTGCTAAATGTTGCATTTTAAATACAGCAAAAACGCTGCATTACGATACACCTGCGCAGGAGATGATCACAGATATGATATTTCCATCCAACCAAGCAGCAAATGATCTAGCATACGAAAAACTCTGTGAGTATGGATCGGAAACTCGGTCTTTCCGACTATGCCCAACAGCTCGCCCATAACGCGGAGCGGAAACTAGGCCTTTCCGCCTGCCTCACATCACGGAATCCAGCGTCAGGGTGTGCATATTAATGACGGCGCGAACATGGATCGGAAACTCGGTCTTTCCGACTATGCCCAACAGCTCGCCCATAACGCGGAGCGGAAACTAGGCCTTTCCGCCTGCCTCACATCACGGAATCCAGCGTCAGGGTGTGCATATTAATGACGGCGCGAACATGGATCGGAAACTCGGCCTTTCTGACCGTGACTATCAAGTCGTGAGCAACGCGGAGCGGAAACAAGGTCTTTCCGCCCGCTGCACATAGTACATATGTAAACGTAGACTGGAGACTAGGCCTCGCCACCCACCCAACTAGTTAGACAATATAAATTTATATAGGTTATTTGATAGTTTTAGAAACATAAACAGCTTTGTAATTGAAAATTTAAACTTACATATACGCATACTTTGTTATATATCAAAAATATCTATCTGTACTTTTAGTCGCAAGACTCTAGCAAATAAATAAATAAATCGCGATCCATATCGCCAAATTTTTAAAAATGTTGAATTCTGGATCGCGGATCGCAATACCGTCAATAAATATTGAACGTGTAGCACTTTCAAAACGTGATCCATACATTTCGTCAGTACATCTTGTACTCTCATAATGCGAACATCAAAAACGTATTCACTATGCCTTCGCTAACGGTGCTTAAAACCTTTCAAAATTAAGTGAAAAAATTTTAATTAACATTGACAATTTTAAAATAATTGTAGAATGCATTATCTGTAAATTATTCATACAGAATAAAAATATTTTCTTGCGTCATAATAAGCGTTCAGCACAAAAATTATGCAAATACTGACGCGATAAATATTGAACATGTAGCATCTCGATCCAAATATCGTGATAATTACAGACCGTGCGACAGAGCCCATTGAGCTGACTCCCGGCAGTGTGTCGCACGGTCAGACAAGTGCTGCCGTTTGCTTATTTTCGAGCGAAATGAAAACCACAGTATACCAGTAGAAAAGGTTTTTGTTTTTGTAGCTGTTTCGTGGTGAAAGTCCTTGATGGGGTCCAAATTTCCCCACAAGAAATTGAGCGCATGGTTGCTTTTGCATTCCAAAAGAACGAATATTAGAAAACATTGAAAAAAAGTCTGAGATAATACAATTATATTCTACTAGAAATAAACTCGATAGTGTGCGCTAATTAGATAATGTGATAATCATGTTTAAAAACTCTTTTCAAGTCTTATTTTTCAGAAATTTATATTTTTAACATAATATTAAGAGAGCCGCACTGAGTTGTCAATAACACTTTGTTTAATACACCCATGATACAAATATTTAAAGGTAAAAGCGCTTGCTCAATTCGTCGGTCATCATTTCTTTTTGGAAGTTTGTCTATTTTATAAAATTGAAATTTTGAGAGCAACTCAAATGCCAAATAAAAGTAAAACCAAAAACAAATAGATGAAAATATTGAAATTTTCATTTATTTGAGACTGAAAATGAGAATGTATTTGTGAGATTGGAAATTTGAAAACATTTTTGTAATGTTAGCAAACTTCAAAAATGTTCAGGCTGCCTCTCAGCGGTTTTACCTTCAGATTTTGTATCATGGATACACCTCGAGATATCACTAACGAGTTTTCCTTTGTTTATTTTTACTTAAAGTCCTTAAATATGTATCTTGATTTCTGTAGAATACGTATTCATTTTTTTAACCTTTTTAAAAAAAGGGAGGACAGTCGGATCTACGTAACCAGAACGACCTGAATGAGCATTAAAGTCGGTTGTATTTTTTGCTCAAAATTACTTGTTATTATTCAGATACAGTTTCGCTACTATTTAGAGATTTCTCGACATACTTGTTCACATTACTGTTATTTATTATTTTTCTTATTAGTCGTTTATATGTTTAGGACTTACTGTGGGTGCTTTAAGATTCATGTTGTAAATATGTATGTACATATAAAAAACAATTGCGATATTTTATTTTATTTTAAATTATGAATTTTATTCGTGCAATTATTTATGTTTAATAGTTTTGAGATTTTTTGGTTCTGTTGTATTCTTTTATTGCATATCTTTAACTCTTTTACTTTAAGTTATAATGTTGAAGATAAGCCTTCTGCCTTTGTCAAGCACTTTAGCTAGGTGCGAGAAATTTAGCATATGCGCGTAAGAGCATAGGGTAGGTATAGGGCTGTGCTGCCGCGATTCTCCAACATCTTGTCAAAGGAGAAAATATATTGGTGGCGGAATCCATCGTAGTCCGATTTTTCATGAAATCTACAAAAAAGCGATCACTGAATCTGAACTGCTATGAACGTGTGTATTCAAAGCAAGCACTGCGTTCGTAGCTACTCGAATTTAATAGCATTTTCGTAGATTTCACGGAAAATCGGACTACGATGGATTCTATGACAGCCTTGATTAGTTCGTGCCAATATAGCAACTCAGTTACCAGCTTTCAGTTGCTAGTTGCCATCGGTAATACCATTTCAGCCACTGGCCAACCAACTGAAGTTCGGTTGTCCTCCGTAATCGACCCATAAAATCGGAATCGAATATGCATGCACGTTCTGCAGAACGGTAAATATTTTGTAAATGTGTGCTCTGTCCGCTAACGAATTCCAGCCATGTGTGAAATATCGTATGTGAAGCCTCCGTCTAACTTAACGATTGTCAAAGGCACGCCAGAAGATGTTTCATCATATGTTTTCGACCATCGTCTTCTTCGAGTAAGTTCATCGATTCCAAAAACTTTACAACCTCTATGTGCCAGCATCCCTTGGTGTTTTTGCCAATGACATGGCACTATTGCTCTGTTAATAACCAAATTTAGCCGCAGTTGCATTCACACGTGATATAATAGCATTTGTTCAGCTATCGAAATCATTACACCGACGGCGGTGGGCAGTACTGCTGGAACATATTTACCACAGCGGTGGTTGTGGCGTTTTGTTCTGCAACAATAGCCTGCAATGATGACATGTCATATAATGTCGATGAACAAAGATATAAAATTGAAAATGACTAACCTTATTCCCGGCCGATTGGGAGACCACCCTTGGTCACGACCAGAACGCATTTACCAAGAGGAAAAACCGCAGGGATTGCAGTAGTTCTTGCAATCACCGTTGATGATGCTGTGCTTGTAATTAATAGTCTGAAAAGGCAGAAAATTGCATTAATCAAATGTTAAACACATCAAATAAATAAATTTCAATAATTTGTTTACCATTTCAAAAACCGAATTACCAAGAAATAGAAACTCACCGCTTTGCGATACAGAAATAATAACCAACAGGGGTGCATTTTCTTGGTATACAACAGAAGCGCTCAGAGCAATCTGATCCACAATATTAT